TCTGATCCCCTATTTCTTTCAGTTCTGCCGATAATAATCCAATATCATTACTTGTAAACCCAAAACGAGTACTGCACTTGGATTTCTAGGCGAAAAATACTTCTGCAGTGCTTAACAGACCTGTTGCATTTCTAGCTCAAAGCCAATATCGAGAATCCGATCAGCTTCGTCAATCACAAGGCATTTCATGTTTTTCACTAAGAACGTCTCCGTGTTCTGCAGGTGATCCAACAGGCGACCAGGGGTTGCCACTAATACAGCCACGCCCTAAATATGTCCCTTCAATAAACAACTTGTGTGCTTATAAAATATTCCAAAAACGACAGTCACTCGATCTCTGTGAGAAAGCACTCTTTTACTCATCATGACCCGAAACTACGACAACTTCCGTCAGGAACCCACCTTTGCCAGTTTTTCCTGCTCAGCACTTCTATTCGATCCTCCCATCACCAAACCATGGCTAAGATTTGTTCCTGGAAATGTTCCAAATCCCTTTCAAATCAAGTAAGTGATAACGTATTTTCAAAGATATTAGTTGTACACAAAATAAAATAGTTAAAAGAGCTGAGGCGCTGTTTGGCTTGGGAGCGGCATTTTGTCTTTTCGCGAGTTTCTTTCGCCAGTTCCTGTTAACTTACACACTTTACCTTGGTGAGACCTGTAAACTCTTGTCATACGTAAACGAAGCTCTCGCTGTTGCATAGCTTTACAGGCTTTACAGGGATTTACATGTCATCACAGAAGGCACTGGCAGTGATCAATGGGGACCACCAAAACGCCCCCACCCAGCCGAACTGCGCCAAGTTGAATAAAAAGCAACTTTGTAGATCATGCAAGAATTGTTACCATTACGAAATCTACTTACCCTCCAGCAACTCTGTGAGCACCCCATAGGTTTGCATGGACAATTCACGAGTAGGCGATATAATTATAACTCCAGTACCGTTGTACTGTTTCCAATCGAGCTTCAATAATAATTCGATGGTGGAGTATACAGAAAGCAAGGTTTTTCAGATACCTGTCTTGGATTCAGTATTGCGTAGAACGTCATCGGCCCTTAAACACACGCTTATGATAAACAACAAACAAACTTAAGCGGTAAAGGGAATAAGACGGCTTTCTATGATCTTTCGAGAGAGGAAGTTGAAGATTGGGTACACTCGGAGATTCAGAGCAATCTGCACGATGTGAAAAGTAAGGGTATCGATATGGCGCATGAGGAAAAGAGCAGACGATCTGGTACTTATATTGCAGGGCACTCAGCAGGCGCCTTATGAAATCGCCTGAGGACATCCAAATCTCCAGATTTCCTTTAAGCCCGACAAAGATGACGAGGCCTTAGATGAATACGAGCCAAAAGGCTCTAACCAAGAAGAAAAGCTGCAAATAATAGACGTTAAATGTAAGCGACAAACTCTAATAATGGTTCTATGTTATTTGCTTGGATCTCCGTCATCGGACGTGATAATCCATTTACGAAGCAGAATCGAGTATTCGAACGTATCACTTTACCTTCAACTATCAAATATTTCCCTCCAGCGGAAGAAATAGATCAACGTCACTTCGTATTGCGTTCGACGAGGACTGGCCTGACCATCACGGTAGCAGATCCATTCTAAGAAAAAAATAAATAAATAAATAAATATTTCAACAAGGGGCGAACACCACGGTAACTACCTGATGAGATTCTTCGTTGGCGTCATCATGCACCTCTTCTTTCACATCTACTTCTTCCTCTTTTTGTTTTGGCAAGCTTCTCCTTCTTTCTCATCTTAGCCTGAATTGATAGGAAATGAATCACCGCTCTAGTGAACTAGCTAATAGGTTGAAAAGTAAAAAAAAACACATTGAACTGATCGAAAATCAAACCAAATAAGAGTTATTGATGGGGAGGGGTAGAGGGTAGTTTGCTGCGGACGTGGCATTTTGGAGGGGTTGGGTACGGCGCAGCGCCTCCATCAGCTGTGGGAGCTGGAATGTGAGGCCAAGCTAGCTTCCCCCCCCCTCCCCGAAACGCCCAACGTCCGCAGCGCATAAGACTGCAGTGAATACAGCTGCGCACATTCTCGATCAATACGAGAAAAGCAGTAAAATGGTCGACTGTGTATTGAATATTTTCAACGGACTGTGTAAATCTAACAGATGGGCTTGGGAAACAAAACATTAGACCGCGTTCATACTTGCCATTCAGTCGCGCGATTTGGAAATCACGGGACTGCAAGTTGTCAGGCCGCGTTCATACACAGGCGCCGCCGTGGCCTCCGGAATTTCAAATCGATATGTATACTTTGCTTATTCTGAAAATTCCGCAGAGACCACGGAGGCCGCGGAGGCGCTTTGTATGAACGCGGCCTCACGCTACATCGTTGATCGCTGAGCCAGTGCAACTGCTAACTGAATCGCATTCAGAACTAAAACGTACTTCGAACTTTGCAGCGGTTCAATAATTAGGGCTGGGCGGGGTCAGTCGCAATCGCGGACTGAGTTACTCGAGTCGCGAAGTATGAATGCTAATATGAAGTCGCGAATATGAATGAAATTAAGTAGAAACCGTGGAAATTACCTGGCTGGCCTTCATCTTGTCCAACTTCCGCTTGAGTACTTTCTTCTGAACGTCAACACCCATCTAAAAATTTATTTTTTAATTAACTATAATATCACGAATTACCGCGTATAACAATACGAACACAGTAAAGTGATAACAAAATCAACAATCAAGACTAACAGAAATTACAGCGACATTGATAACTATCAAAATAACACATCGTGTGCAACGACAGTTAGGAGCTATGTGTCTTGGACGGGGTCGGTCAGTCTTCCGTTACGGCAACGGTAGTCCGCAATTTCTAAGGGGCGGGGGCCCTTGAGCGACTTCGCCCCCGCTTATTTCAACTTCTCAAGGGCCACCGTCACTTCAACGAAAA